CAAAAGATCTGACGTCGTCTTCTGGCCTCTATGGGCATCAGACATGTATGTAATATACAGACATACATGTAAGCAAAATACCCATATACACAACACAGGGCTAAAAACTCTCTTTTTCCTTGCCCATCAACAACCATAAGAGTATTTGAAAATATAGTAATACAGTAACACTGAAATAAAAGTAAAAAAACAGCCTCAAGCAGGAAACACAAGCTAAACTTCTTTAGCAAGTGTCTAATATAAGATCACTTCAAATACTTTAGTATATTAGCACTGAATTCACTAATATTCCATACTTTCATTAAGACTAGCAACTTTCACATTACAAAATGAAGAAACACAGGAATAATGCTTTTTAAAATACAAAAGGAAAATTGCCCATTAGCATACAAAAAAGTATTTAAAATTTGGTATACTCCTCATTTCGACAGCATCTGACAAATGTCCTTGCATGTCGTTCAATGCTGATTTGTTTGCAATAGTTTGGATCATGAATGCACAGCACCACCCCCCACAAGGCACGTGTGTTGAAGGCTTGGTCCCCAAGTTGGTGCTCTGAAGTTGTGACTCTTTAAGGGCCTAGTCAGAAGTCATTGAATCATGTGGGAATGTCCTTGAAGGGATTGCTATATCCCAATTCAACCCTTTCTTTGCCAAGAGGGGAGCAGTTTTGCTCTACAACGGGCTCCAAGCATGGGGTGTTACCTCATCTGAGGCCCAGAAGTAAAGCCAGTCAAGGACTACAACTTTCAAACCTGGGAGCCAAAAAGTAGCATGCCTTTCTATGAGTCGATAACCTCAGACACTTCATTACAGAGACAACCAACAAGCACTTTACCTCACATGTGAAAGCACATAAAACCACCCGTGGGCAACAGCCAGATAAATAATTATACCATCACAGCCATTAAAATAAGCTTCAGTATAAGCCATCATTTTTTTCTTCTTTTAAATTAATATGTAATTACATGTTAATGGCAAAACACATACTCTTATGCTACCAGTTGGGGTATTACCTTGTTGCAATTCTATTGTATTTTCTAATCCTGTTTCTTAAAAATATGAAATGAAAATTTTCTAAATTAAAAAATTTCAAACTAGTAAAAACATGTTGAAAAATCAAAGAGCCGTGTAATTCTGAATGCTTTCTTTTTTTTTTTTTTTCTTCTTTAAAACTGGGTGCCAAGAAGCTGAGGCCAAAAGTAGAGCAACTCATTGTGAATGTACTGGCTTCCCAGAGCCTGTTTGCAGGTCACTAAACTGGAACTTGGAATTCATTCTTCCATTGAAACAATGTGACAAATGGGCTTTCTTTCCCAGGCCTTCCTACCCAGCCTCATAAGTAGTTTTAAAAAGAAGAAGAAAAAAAAATGAACATTAGATACTTTAAAACAAACAGAAAAGGCTCTTGGCAAAAGATCTGTTATGTATGTCCTACTCTTGTCCAATTCTTGAATCTTTTCCCCATATTCCTATGTAAATTTGAAAATCTTACTGCTCCCTAAAGGCCTCCCAAGTATTAAACTAAGCTGCATTTGCCACAGCTATAAGCCACCCTACTCCCTCTAAAATAATTTGCTCTTGACATTATATTATGAAATCAGCATTGGTGTTTATTGTTGTTAATACTCTGGGGTCTAGGACTGGACCATTTGCATATCATATGTGAGGACCCGGGAATTCTGACTACAAGGTGGCATGGTGGAAATGCTCTTGGATCCCTGAAATGACAGTGGGGTTAGAGTGAAATGACAGTGGGGTTAGGTACATGCACCTATCCTGGATAGCACTGAGAATACAAAAAGACATACTGTAGGGAAAACAATTAAATTGGAAGAATGATGAGTGCTAACCAGACCTTTAACTAAGAGATGGAATAAGAATAGGGAAGTGACCGGGTCGAGAAGGCAAGAGAGTCTCAAGCAGAAAGAAGGCCCGATGTGGGGAAGAGCAGAAGAGCAGAGTCTTTACAGAATGGGGTCAACAGTACAACTCTACCCTGGTGTCAGTGGGAAAGTTTGGTGGAAGCAGGTGGCTGCTATGTTCAGCATGGGGCCTGAAAATGAGCACTCGAGGTCAGCATTATCCCCTGAAGCAGCTGAAACTCTAGTAATCAAGTCACCTGAACCAGCAGAGTTTGTAAGGCAATGGCAGGTCACCAGGTCTGTGAACTCCAAGCCATACAGGACTCCATCATCCTTCCTTCCCCATCCCCTGTGACTGAATCCTAGTGGAAGACAGAAAGAGTTTTCCAAGAGTTCCTCTTGGCCCCCCTTCCCCACATGCCATATCCTATCACATTCCCCCACCAACCCTTGCTGGAAGAGAGAAGTCAAACATTGACAACAAAGCGATGGAGATACCCTAAGATGGATGCAAAGAACAGAAGCATGAAGCATGAAATATAAACCCAATTGCTTTGCTGGACCTCGCCTGTAATCCCAGCTACTCAGGATGCGGAAGCGAGGAGATCATAGGTCCGAGGCCAGCCCAAACATCTGAGTGAGGCTCTTTCTGTAGAGAAGTAAGATGAGTGTTAGGATGTAGTTTAGTGGTAGCGCACGTGCCTAACATTTATGAGGCCTTCTTGGTTTAATTGCCAAGTACAATCAATAAGACAAATTGCCCTGTTAAAGCAGGGAAAGGCCAATCAAACACCCTGAGAGAGTTTGCTTGGAGGTTTGAGGTGCAGCTGTTCATACGCTCTTGACAAAGACTAGCCCTCCTCTATCAGGGAAGATCTTTCTTTTCACCAACTACACGGCTTCAGAAAGGATGAGGCTTGGGTGCTGAGGGAGGAAGGGACACGTGCCTAGCCATCCAGATCAACCAAATCAACACTGGCGATAATGGCTGACAGCTCGATTACCCTCATATCTGAACACATTGGGAGGCTCTTAGGTGGTATGATCTCTAAGCAACAACAACCAAAAAAAAAAAAAAAAAAAAAAAAAAAAAAAAAAAAAAAAAAAAAAAACCAAAAACAAAAACACTAGAACCACTAGTTTCTCTTCTGGCCAGAAGTCATGTGTCTTTGGGGACGTCATTCCAACTGTCTACCATTTACCATTTGGTCTCCTCAGAGCCTGGCTTCCATACAGCTGCCCACTAAAGCAGCAGAACCACTTCCTGTTCTTGGCTAATGATGTCCGTGTGCGAAAAGTCCTAAAGCAAGAGGAAACCAACCCAAACAGCTTACAAGCACCTAAAGACAGTGTGCAGTTGCTTGGACTCACCTATCCACCTCCAAGGACTACCTTACTGCTCATGAAACCAGAATGCAAATCTGAAGTCGCTTTTCTCTTTTTATTGTTTCTTCTCTCTAGCTAAACTCTGTCTCAAAGACTGGGTATTTCCTAGAATGACCCAATAAAACTTGGTTGTTTTTCTCCAGTGTTTATTTATTTGGCCCAAGATTCTCAGCAGGGCTGGGGTTCGAGAGCTTGCTTAGCAAACACATAGTCCTGGGTTTGATCCTTAGTAACACTGACAGAGCGCCTAGGACAGCCAACACTAACAGAGTGCCTAGGACAGCGGATGCTACAACCCTTTAGTACAGCTCCTCATGCTGTGGTGACCCCCGCCATAAAATTATTCTTGTTGCTACTTCCTAACTGCAATTTTGCTACCGTTGCGAATTGTAATGTAAATGACTGTGTTTTTTCAGTGGTCTTAGGTGATACGACCCCTGTAAAAGAGTCCTTTCACTTTCAAGGGGGTCATGACCCACGGGTTGAGAATTGCTGGCTAAGTCAAAAAGTATCTGTAACTCGCAATCAGATTCAGATCTGGCTGTAACTTTAGGCTAAGATGTAAAAGTAGCCTTGAGAATGAAGTATTCTTCCTAGGTGTTTTCATTCCCATGTCATTGCTTTAGAATTTCCAGTTAAGATACAGTTTTTTGTTTTGTTTTGTTTTTTTCTCTATCTTAAGAGTTTCTCAGTACGAGATCATTAGCTGGTCCCATTTTCTACTATTTATACAATGTATACAAACCTGAAAAGTCAGATTTTAATAGATTCATACTGAGTTTAACATGTAATCTTAAGTTGGTACAGGTTGAGGGTTCTTAACCCAAAAATCTAAAATCTACAATGCTCCAAATGCAAACAAAATGCAAGGGGAAATTTTCATACCTGATATCATCTGATAAACCGTAGACTCAGAAGCACTAGACATTGGGCATTAAATTACCTTCAGGAGTGGGATGAAGGCAAGTATGAAAACAAATGCATTCCTTATTCAGACTTGGATCTCGCCCCAAGATTTATCATGTACATACAAATAACTTCACTGGTCTAAATCCAAACTAGTCCAAAATGTGTCACATTCCTGATCTCCAGCATTCTGAGCAAGGGACATTCAGCCTACACAGCAACAAAGAATGCTTAAAGGAATAACCCTGCGAGGATCCCCATCATGTAAAGGACTGTGCAGGCATTTCCCATCCTCCCAGGGGCTGCAGAGTCCTCTTTGCACATGCTCATTCCTGCCTGACTCCAAAGGCCTCCTCCAATACACTGAGCAGGACTTTAGAAAGGATCTTGTCATAGAGCTTGTGAGCATGGCTTTTGTCACCATAATGGGGTGACAGGTATCACTGCCTGATCATCCTCTTAATGAAAACACCGGGACCCTTTAGTGGAATGATCTCCAAGCAACAGATTGAAACAAACAAACAAACAAAACTGGCTTCTCCTCTAGTCACAAGTTATGTGTCTTCAGGGAAGTTGCATTAGGTATCTGCCATTTGGTCTTCTAATGGGATGGCTTCCGTCTCACCCTGTCATCATTAAATGTGATTAATTAAATAATTTTTTTTTCAACACTACTATGTAAACAACTTTCTATAACTTAAATGGTAAGTTTCCCCCATGTTCCTACTACAATGTTATCAAATATTATAAGAATCTCAAAGCAAGTGGGCTATCACTTCATATGCTTTAAAACAGTTTAGAATAAAGCTTCATAGTAAAAATAAATTCTTGAGACACTATCACCTTTTTGTTGGTAATTGGAATGGACAAGAAATAGTTGGGTTGATAATCTTTTGTGGGTTTTTTCCTCTTCTTTATGTGATCATTCTTGCTGCCTTTATTTTCTTTGCTTCTCTTCGAATTTATTTGAGGCACATCAGTGACTAGAGGAGAACAAAGCAAAGTGAGAAAGCATCTCGCACACTTAAAAAAAGATAACCTAGTTTAAAAGGAAGAAGTCATGCAGTATCTACAATAAGCAGCAATCCTGTATAATTCTCTTCTTCAAATCTAAAGCAAGAGTTGGTAAGCACTTCCATAAAGAACAAATTTATAAACAGTTTAGGCTTTGCAGACCATAGGGTCTATGTTGCAGCTACCTAACTCTGACAAAACAGTGAAAGGATATAGCTGTGTCCCAGGAAAAGTTTATTTACAAAGCAGGAGATCAGCCTGACTTATGCCTTAGTGCTCCTTTGTTGGTTCTTTTTTCTCTCTCCTACCTTTATTAGCCCCCATACACTAGAGAGGAGAGAAAAACTGTTAGAGGGTAAAGGGTGAGAAGTTATAGTTAGACTACTTCCTGCTGACTAGGGGCATCAAGTTCCTTGAGGCAAGTTTGACCTTCGCTGTCAGGATATCTAATTTCTTCTTTTCATTTCTTTGTGCACAACTACTTGACAAACAGCAACCAACAGCATCCAAGCACAAACCAGCCAGAATGGCAGCCCCACCTCTGCATTTCTATATCCTCTGAAAAGTTCCCAGAATTCCAAATGTCACACATTCAAAGAAACTATCTGGCAAAACCATAGCCCTGATAGAGCGGGGGACAAATCACAGTGACCTGCTGTGAAGCAGTTTCCTATCCCACACCCGGGATTAAAACAAACACATATTCACAAAACATTTCTGTGTTTTTTTATAAACCCAAGTTACAAAATTCTCACTACGCCTTAGGGTACCACTAACAAGCATTCTCTACCACATGCCAAAGCAGTTTTTTGGTTTTGGTTTTGTTTTTCTGCAGAAGGGTCTTGCTATCTCAGTCCCCCTTCCTAAACCCCTCAAATTCAGGATTAGAGGCAGTAGCCACTGTGTCTGAAGTCACAGTCTTTCTACCACTAGGAAAGTGGATTGCCGGTTGATTTGTTAGTGTCTGTTTATTCCATCCATTCCCTGTGACCTCATTTCCTCCTGCTAACCCCACTTCCTCCTAGTACAATATGCCACCACTTCCCAGCAGCACCGGTGACCTGGTACACGGGCCATTGTGGTCATGCGTGATCCAAATTGTAGTAAGTGGGATCATGTCAGACAGTCTCTAATGTCAACTTATAATCCTGCCACTGGCCAAAGATGAGATAACTTGAGCATCAAGTTGAATAACAAATTTAGTAGTGTGAATTATATCAAATATGATCGAAATCTAACGGCTCATAATGATTTTAAAAGGAAAAAAAAAAATTAAAGCCACAATTCATTACTTCCAGAAAAGTCAGAGAACCGTTATCCTAAAATGTAATCAATCGCTCATGCACATGGTACAGTGTTACAACCCTTGTAGTGTATTTTGGGTTCTTCCCCTTTAATTCAGTGTCCTGCCGACATGATCAACTCTGCGCCACTGTCATGTTCTTGCTTGTCTGCAGAAAGTCTCCCTGTATTTGTCGAGTTTATCTGTAGAACCAAAAGGTAGTATCTCTCCGCTTTTTCCCTTCCAACTCTGTGATCACAGTCTGTGTCTGAAAGATCATTTGCTGTTACTCCATTTACTTGTCTCCACGTAAAAAGATAAAGCAAATATTTATGCAGACATCTAGCTTCCGGATAAAAATATTAGAGATTGGTGACTTGAGATCATAAAACGCAGAAGGCTGGCCGTGGGCCCTGGTTCTCTCAGCAGACTGTTTACAGTAATTTTACTGGTTAGGAAAAAGTCATTCATGCAAGTACAGATTGTAAACCCATAAACTTAATTTATTATACTTGTTAATTTTCATAATGACTCCAGTAGTCATTTAATGTGCACTGATGAACTTATGTCATTGACAAAGGCTGTTACTCTCAACCACGGGTTTTTGTTTTTGTTTTTTTTTAACAAAACCGCCATATGTCATCTTATGTAAATCATTGAATTTTCCTCAATGCTCTTTATTCCTTCAAAAACTACGAAGGAGTGAATTAGAAGAAAAATTAATTTAATTACTGTTCCATCTGTTGTGGTTTGGTTGTTTTCACACTTGCTCTTACTTAAAATCCTAAGGATAAATTAGAGTTTGTTTTGATATTTCCTTTCTTGCTCTTTAAACAGGTTAAAAAAAAAATCTTTCAAGTAGACTGGGAGTGGATCTGCACACCTGTAATTCCAGCACTTGGAAAGGCTGAGGCAGGAAGACTACTTTGAGTTCAAAGCCAACCTGGGCTACGTATGGAGTTGCTATCTTAAAAAAAATTTTTTTTTAATTTAAAAAAATGACCTAGTGGCATCACAGTCATCTTATTTTTCAACATTCTCTATGACGTTCACAACACAAACAAAAAAGGAGCCTAATAAGGCAAAGCTCAGAACATAGCCATGCATTATGCAGTGGTGTGTGGTACTTGCATTCCCAATTAATTACATAAAGGACACAGAACACAATTTACCCTTTTAACTGATACAGAATACCCACTAAGACACAATCTTTTCTATACAATAATTTTAGAGAAATTTGATATTTTAATTTTTTTAAATATAACTTAACTATTAACTATTAAATTAACTATTTTTTAAACATAACTCAATATTACTACTAAATGGTAATTTCCTCGATCTCAAATATCCCCAATAACTATCCTAGAACTCTATGCGCCGGGTGGTGGCACACACCTTTAATCCCAGCACTTGGGAGGCAGAGGGGGGTCGATCTCTGAGCTAGAGGCCAGCTGGGTCTATACAGTGAGTTCCAGGAGAGTATGGGCTACACAGAGAAACCCTGTCTCAAAAAACTAAGAAAACAAAAACAAAAACCTCCTGTTGGGGGTTGGTCTGATAGTAATTACTGGCCCCCAGGATTTGGCTGCTGCCCAGATGAGCAGACATTCATATATCTCAAAATGACTTTTGGAACTTTGCCTAAGAAACTAATCCTGATTAACTGAATAAAAGGCCTAAACCTGGGCAGAGCAGAATGGGGTAAGTGTGGTCAAAGTTGGAGGGCTTTGGGGACAGAAGAATCATGAAAGAGGAAGCAGACAGGTAGGGGAGGAAGAAGGAAGGAAGCAGAGAGCCGAAATGGGTTACTGTGGAGAGCAGCACATGACCAGATCAGCACGGAGGGAGGAAACTGGCCCCGATGAAGGACATTAGCAAGGATTTGGGGATCATGAATGGGAAGTCACACAGATAAAAATTATTAGAGCAGATGGCGTGGGATGGGAGCTTGGGAGGTAAAGACAGCTTAGGAGGTAATATCTGCCATCCCCCAGGTGAAATAAGGCTATTCTAAAATCTATCAGGTGTTGGTATCTTTTATTGAGTGTGATAGTGGTTTAGATAATACCTCCATAATAATTGTAGGGATAATAATAAACATTATCAGACCATACTTACAAATTAACCACAAACAACCACCTAGTTCTTATATGTTTATATAAAACTCTTACTTCACAAAAACCTAGTTAACAGTTTCTGGTCCACAAAGAACTTTTCTACCTGTTCCTTTGAATTGTAAGAAACAAAGAGCTACCATAAAAATAGGAGCTAGATTGCAGTCAGATAATTGAGTTGTGATGCAAAGGTTTTGAAGGGGCTGGGGAGATGGCTCCATGGGAAAGCATGGGGACATGCATTTAGTCGCTGGTACCACATCAAAGCCAGGCACAGCAGGATGTGACTGTTGAGCCCAGGGCTAGAGGCAGGCAGAGACAGGTAGCTGGAACAGTGAGGTGCGGGATCAACGAGAGACTGTCTCAAAAGAATAAGGTAGATAGGGATTAAAAGAGACAATGTCATTGTCTGGCCTCCACATGCACATATGTGTACCAGCACATACAACTATACACACACACACACACACACACACACACACACACAAAGGAAGGGTTTTTTTTTTAAGTAACACTTGTACATTGTTATATTTTTTAACTCCTTTCTTATACAGATTTTCTGTTTTGATCTGTACAGAATCATTTTGAGTTATTCAATGAGGAACTAAATGTATATATTTATATATATATATACATTTATATATACATTATATATATAATTTTACAGTTAAAGTCCCACTCACAAACTTTAAATGACCAAAGTCACACAAGAAGAAATTTTAATAATCAAAACTGAAATCAAAATTCTATGTCTCTTCTTATCTCACAGGGCCCATGCATTAAACAGGAGCTTAGACTCTGAAACCCATCTTCCCCCAGAAGAAATCCTCCACTCTGTGGTTTGGAATATAGGCTAACACTCAAATAGCTTTAAAGCTCCTATCAAAGAGTGGTACAATATTCCATCGTTAAGAATGGATTGCAGTAGGCTGACCTAGGCCCCATTTTTCATGGATAGAAAGCATTGCTCTAGTAAGAAAAAAGCCAAATCCTGCTGAAAAGAAAAAGAAAAAGAAAATTCTGCTTGCATGAAAGGCTATCCTTCCTGAGGCCCTTGCTGAGAAAAAGTAGCCATCCTTTTCAAAGCATGAAGAGGTGTCACAAGTGGGCCCCACCCCTTCTTTCTGGTGCATGGTGGTCACTGTTCTCCTCATCAGCAGTCAGATTACAGAGGCCATGGAGTACTGTTCCCTGTCTGGGATTCTGGAAGTATCTCGTTTCTCAAACCTATTGTAAGCTGTTCTGATACGTTAAATATGAATAAGATATGGACAGATCAGAAGTACCAACAGCTGGATAGTGAATCGTTTCATCCATTCCTGGATAATAGGGAGACCTATCACCTTGGTAGAGGAGAGAGTCCCAGTTGTCATATATAGTTCTGTTTTCACCAAGACATGAGATTTCTACTTTGGGGTTTCAATCAAGAATTCATTATGTAACGTTTATAGATGGTGCTCTAAGCTGCTGGCTGTACTGATAATGCTTGCCTGGTTCAGGAACAGATGGATGGATCCTCTTGATGCATAGCTAAGTGCCTACATGTACCCAAAAGCCATTAACCATTTATTACACGAATGGTTAGGTACTTCTGAAGTCCCAGGCAGCTCTAAAGAACTTAAGTAGGTTGTTGGAAACCATGGAACCCTCTGCCAGATCCAGGACTTTTAGATGTAACCACAGAATGATCTGATCTAAAATCTCGAGAGCCACGCCTTAATATTATCTGCCACAGTTTTGACAACAGAGCATGACATAACAGCTAGCACTCAAAAACACGCATATAAAGCGAAAAGCTTAAAGATGATTATGCATTATGAAATGCATAATCATACTGCCCACTGCTGCTAATATTTGTTTCTTAACACAGTACTTACGCCCACAGTCATCTTGAATATCCACAGTAGCAAAAGGCATGTTTATGAGGGTGTCCACAGTGCTGGCTTCCAGTTCCCCCGGCACTTCCTCTTTTCTTAAAGCACTTTCACATTCACTCGAATTTATTTCTCCTACAGCAAAACAGAAAGAGAAACAAGTATTACTGAATAGTTATTTATTAAACTCCAATTCTAAAACCAAAACAACTCAGCTAAGTGAATTCAATACCTAGCAATCTACATAAAGAAATGTTATAACTGCTCTTCTAACATAGTCTTGTTTGTAAAAGTGCATTTTTACATCAAACCGTAAACTTCTGAGGTTTTAATCCTTTTCTAAAGCAGAGTGTTCAACTCAGACATAGATGACAATAAGTAAACCTGTAGTCTCCCATCTTTTATGGGTATATGTTGAGAGGGTGACATAAACTCCATTTTGTCTCCATTTTAGGACCAGGCCAGCCTTTAAAAGAAAAACTAGGCCATAGGTCACCCATTCCAAAAAACAAGACCATAAAATCCCCACCCCTGACCCCAGCCAAGAAACAACCTGGAGATAACCACAAGAATGGGAATGTATCTTATCTCAGGGCGGGGCATCTGGGCTGGGTAGCCCACCACCTTATAGTAGAACATTCACCACAGCACAGGAAAATGCCTAACATAGCTCGCTCAATGTTAGTTATGTTAGTCAGCCAATGACTTTGTAACAAGCTTGCCCTTGCTGAATGTCACCCAATCCTGTAACTGCTAAACTGGAAATTCCCAGTCCTTGCTTAAACCCCAATAAGCAGCTGCTCTGGATGGTCCTCCCTGGTAACTCTCAAGTGATGGTGCTTAAGCCTGAATAAAGCTCTTTGCTCTTGCAAGCATGGGCCGGCATGCACGTGGTGGTCTTTGGGGACACTAAGATCAGGGCATAACATTCTCTCCATCTGTTCCACTAGGGCTGGCTGCCCCGAAAACAGGCTTCACCCAACTAAACCAGAGTTTGGAATGGAGGCTTGTCCCTCGGTGGGCTCTCCGTCATTCCAACAAACCAAAGGCCGGTGCAGTGGCATATTCCACATGGGCTCCGTCAAACTGCACCAGATACAGGGTGGGTCAAGACATCTCTGGGCCCACCTAGCAGGGGTCTCCACTAGTGTGTGCACTTAGAGTACCTGGACCTACAGGAGTTGGCTTAAGCCGTTCACAGATTCAGATAGAACACAACACAGAGACACAGACAGACATGGTCAGACACAGACAGAGTGCTCACTTTCTGTCCAGTATTCAGCACCATATGCCCAGGCCCTGGGAAGGGAGTTGGCTTGCAGATCCCAGACGAGCCCCCAAATGTTATGCCCACTTGTTACAAAGTGACTGGCTAACTAACATAGCTAACATTGAGCAAGGTCTATCTATAGACCTCAGGAATGTTAGGTATTTTCCTGTGCCATGAATGTTCTACTAATGAGAGACCAAAAGATAAATTAGCAGCAATTAGGACCTGAAGTAGGTAGGTAAAGAAGTCTAGTAATGCCCTGAGGGGAAGAGCCACCTTACTGCATTCTTTCCCCACCCACTAGAGATACAGTTGCTAGGAAACTGGACCATCCCCCTAAGGAGGGACAACAGGTCATTAATGGTCTGGGAACCTTCCTATAGCTAATAGATTCAAAATGTAGCATTTTAACCAATAGATGCTTGCCAGGCAGGAATCGCCCCTGCCTTGGACATGCTGGGATGGACCAGAATCTTTAAATCACCCAACTAACCTGGGCACGGGGTGCTCGGCTCCCACCGATTCAGCAGTGGGGGGTGTGGGCCCAAGCTGCAGCTTGTAATTTACAATAAAAGGAACCTCATGTATTTACAGCGTAGTCTGTTTATTCCTGGTCTTTTGGGGTTCATGAACTGGGCAGAACACTACAAGGTCGGTGGGCTGCCCAGCACAGATGCCCCACCCTGAGATAAGATACCTTCCCATCCTTGTGGTTATCTCCAAGCTGGGTTAAGGTCTTGTTTCTGGAATTGGTGACCTATGGTCTAGTTTTTCTTTTAAAGTCAGGCCTGGTCCTAAAATGGAGACAAAATGTCATCTTCTCAGGCCAACAGTTACAGACAGTTGTAAGCTGTCATATGGGTGCTGGGAATTGAACTCAGGACCTCTGAATGAGCATCCAGTACTCTTAACTGCTGAGCCACCTCTCCAGCCCTACTATAGACATCATTATATCATGAGACAATAACAGTACTCTCTGATAGAAATAGCTGACCCTTAGCTAGTCACTGCTTTACTCTTGAGCTGTCTTGCTGTCCTCTTTCTCCCGTCACAGAGTCAGAGAACCAGCCTGACTCAGGAAAGGGGATTTGAAAGGTAGCATGAGACAAACATGCTTTGGGTCTGAAGTAGGAGAGCCAAGTTGCAGAGGTAGCATAGCAGTTTATCAATATATAATATATACAAAAGAGGCATTGCTCTCTGTGAAAGTGAACCCAGAGCTTTATTTTGAGCAGGGGACTTGCTGTTGAGTCCAATGACAACTGCCTGGACCCAAAACAAATGCCCTATAACCTGTATGAAGAGTCTAATCAGTTGGGTCTTGTACTGGGAACTGGGACTAACAAGCAACCAAAAACATCTCTTCCCTCTTAGAGTCCAGTAAGACACAGAATCCTGAATTTTTGAAGGGTCACCTTCTGACATCTTTAAAATTTATAAGGTCACGAATGATGGTCATGGATTCACCCCCTGAAACCATAAGTAAGCCCCTAATTAAATGTTTTTCTTTATAAGTTGCCTTGGTCGTGGCGCTTCTTTACAGCAACAGAAAAATAACTAAGACAGACTATCTGGTATTTTTATCAACAAATTTTAGATTACAATATTTCTACTCATAAGCTCAGAATAGAAGCATGAGAATAAGCGGAATGTTAGGTTTTTGTGTATATACTAGCATTTTAGAAACACAAACGCAGTTCAGACTTAAACAAAAGTTTAAGGAAAACAATATGTATCTTGAGTCTTTATAGGCAGCTCCATGTAAAGGAACATCGGCCACCAGGAAGATTATACTCAGAAAAACTCTTAACAAAAGAGTACTTATAAGTCAGGCATGGAAACACATACATGTGGGAGCACATACATGCCTCTAGTCCTAGCACACAGGAGAATGCTGCATTCAAAGCCAGCCTGGGCTATGGACTAAGATCTTGACTCCAAACAACAGTATCAACAATAAAGTAATTTTTAAAATACTTACATAGTTAAACATGCCTAAATACTACCCATAACATATGAGAAGACTACATAGAAATCAGAATGCAAGGAGTAAATAAACCCAACTATGACTGTTATAATTTTTTTTTCTCAATCTAAGCATGTAGTGATAGGAAATAGTCCTAGTATGATACGCGCATATCAATGCTATTTGCCAAGTCTATGTGCCACAAGGAAAGCTTCTGACCTATGATGGCTTCAAGGACAACTTTTCAACCTCATGATGGCACAAAAGCTGGCTATCATCCCTATTCCTGTGATTAGAGGGAAGCTCTCAAGCCAAGGAGGCAGGGCATGGGGCAGGGTTCAGTGTCCAGAGTCTGTGGGATGTGGTCAGAGTCTTGTTCTTGGGAAAGCAGTGAACACTCAGTATAAAGCATATTCAAATGTTGAGTGTTGATATCTTCCCAGGCTAGTGACATGAGGTCCGGCCCCCTCTTGTGATGCTGGGGGAAGGGGACAGCATAACTACCAGCTTCCAGGCAACCTTGAGATTAAAAAACAACAACAACAACAACAACAAACAGTACTGTAGAGTGGACTGTGTTGCTAAGCAATGCTGTTCAGTAGGCTAGGTGTATTTTAAGGTTTATTTTCACCTTGCAGTATTTGCCACTTACAGTGAACACTTTCGGCACACATTCTTGGCAACATATGAAATAGAGGAAACTGACTTCTGGGTTCTGATACATTCTGAAGGCAAGGAGAATCATTAAATAGGATGGTGGACTAAATCATTCTTTAGGAAGGCCTCGATCCAGTTTAACTTTTAGTATGTCATAAGATCAATGAAGCACCACTACTGAGCAAGCTCAGTAGTGAGCTCAGGCTAAGTGAGTCTTAAAGCCAAGTGGAATCTCACAGCAGGAGAGATGATCCCAGGTATTATACCAACCCCATCAAGGGACATCCCACCCCAATGCCAGTTAAACCAGGTCTACCACAGTGTAGACAAGTCCAGCTTCCAGAATTCCTTAAAAGCTCCCGGGTGATTCAAATGCTCAAGGGAAGTTTGAAAACTACTGCCAAAACTCTCACTTTTCCTTGAACCATGAACCTACTCTAATGAAGGATTGCAATAAAGAATATGATCAGCCATTAAGTTTGTTAGCAATCCACTCTTCTCCCAGGTACACAGGGATTCCTTCAGCCCAGCAAGAACGCATGATGCTGCAGCTGTCCGAGCATCTGTCTTCGCCATGAGATTCTAAAAGGACTGAACTACCTACCACTCTAACCAGGATGCTGGGTGAAAGAACTTCCTATCAATAAACATGGTCACCCTCTTCCATGCTCTTTCAGTTTTCCATTTGGTTCCCCTTTTGTTCTTCCACCCCTAGCAGAGAGCCAACTCGACTGCAGGAACCCTATCAATTTTTTCTGAATGACAGGACAAAGTACCCTCGTGGGAGTGGTTACTAATTCACTGCAGTGTGGCTGTCTCAGAACCCATGAAAACAACAGTATTTAATAGCAGTCTCTGGACATGGCAGGTTGTCTCATTTTCACAGGATGAATTAAAAGGCATTAAAATTAAAACTAAGAAATCCGCCAAGTGCTTGCCTATTGTGTCTAGCCCTGGGTTCAATCCCACATACAAAAATCAAAAAAATTAAGCCACAATATGATTTACTCTACGGTATTCTCCATCTTTTATGTTTGTTTTTTTTTTGTTTGTTTGTTTGTTTGTTTGTTTGGTTTTTTTTTGTTTTTGTTTTTTTGTTTTTTTGCTTGCTTCCTTGGTTTTTGTTTTTGAGACAAGGTGTCCTAACTCCAACTGGCCTCAAACTCTACAAATAGCTGAGGAGGACCTTGGACTCCTCATCCCCCACCCCTCAGGGATTGCAGTGGTACACAACAATGGCCG